ATAACCGATTGGAGTGAGGTTTTATAAGAAAAGTGTTTACCTAATTTAAATTCCTAGAGAAATAGATATCTTTGATCATGGATTGCATTACTTCCTCAAGCATAACCATTGTGGTTAATGGGAGAAAAACTCTCACAATTCAAACCCTCCAAAGGCATTCGACAAAGGGATCATTTATCCCTATGCATTTTTATTTTATGCATGAAATACTTTAGTCTGATGATTCAAGAAATGTGCGAGGATAAAAAATGGCTTTCGATAAAGGTCTCAATGAAAGGGCCTGAGCTATCTCATTTATTATTTATGGATGATGTCATTCTATTCGCAAGAGTAGATAAGAAGTCAAGAGGCACAAACAAAAGGGTGTTAAACAAATTTATGGAGGAATCTAGAAAAAAAGTGAACACTGAGAAATCTTGTATACTATTTTCCAAGAACACTAAAACTAAGACAAAGGGTTGGATCACCACCACCTTGGATATTGAAAGCATAGAGAAGCTTGATAAATATTTGGTTTTCCTTATACATAACCAGAAATAATGAAAGTAAGACTTCAACTTCATTTTTGAGAAGGTCAGAAGTAAAGTCGTCGACTAGAAAACCAAATTGTTATCCCTAACTGGCTGTATAGTGTTCATACAATCCATTACAATAGTTGTCCTTACTTACTTCATGCAATGTAAAGCCCTTCTTAGTTACACTTGTTGTGACTTGGATAAAATCAATCAAAATTTTCTATAGGAAAAGGAAAAGATAACAAGAAACTTCACAAACTAAAATAGAGTGAAGTGACTAAGTTTAAGAAAGAGGGTGGTCTTGGATTAAAAAAGAGCAAACCTCGAAACTAGGTGTTACTCACTAAAATTTGTTAGAGGATGATACATTTGTTGAGATTTACCTTGAATCTCATAATCTCATATTGAAAGTTAAGTGAAGTTATAAGAGTTTGAGTTTATCTTGTATCTTATATCCAGAGTTTAGTAAAGCTATAAAGGGTATCACCTTTATAAATAAGATATTTTAATTTTAGTTTAGTAATCCCAGATAATTAGACACCAAGAGAATAGCTAAGTGAGTAGGCTATTAAAGGGTGTAATTGAGTTTTGGGTTAAATTTTGAATAAAAAGTTTTTGGTGACTTTTCTCATTTTAAAAGTCTTACAGTTATAAAGAATAATTTATTAGTAAATTGGATTTGGAGTAGGTCATTTTTAGTTGGGCTGAAACAAATATATTTGTGTATTTTTATTCTTGATTTAAGCTTATTATTTTTTTACATGGGTGCTACGTGTACATATTGATTTTTCAACGAATGGGATCAAAGTGAGGTTTATGGGAAGAAGAGTCAGGCCAAGAGATCATAAAATAAGTGTTTTAAGATTTCTAAAGAGGGTATGTCTAGTATATCTATGCCTAAGTTTGAGATTTCATTATTTGATAAAAAGAATAATTTTATGTTATAGCAACTTACAATTCAAGATCTGTTAGTATAACAAAAGTTGGATTAGGCATTAGAGAGTAGTAAGTCTAAAAAAATGTTTGATAATAATTAGAATAGAATTCAAAAGAAAGCTATCAGTACTATTATATTGACATTAGCATCAGAGGCAAATATAGTGTATTGACTAAGAGCACTCTGAAGAGTTTGAAAGATAAGTTTGAGAGTATTTATGTATGAAAGTTGTTAACTAACATATTATGTTTAAGGATGGATCTATATTCTTTAAAGATGGAAGAAAGTATAAGTCTTCATAATCACCTGAATGAGTTTAATAGATAGGTTTTTCAATTGCTGACGGTTTCTATTGATGAGTTAAAAGATAAAGAGAAGGTTTTAATTTTATTATCATCTTTGCCCAAGTCTTATAAGCCTTTAGTTTAGACTTTATTGGTAGATAAGTCTACTTTGAAGTTGAATGATGTAATTGCCCTGTTGCGTGAGAACAAAAGGTTTATGGAAATACATAACTCATCACCTTGGGGGAGTACACTAGCTGTAGAGGGTTTTGATCGAAGAAGGACTTAAAAAGGATTGATGGATCAAAAGAGAAACCCAAGTCAAGAGACAGAGATTACAGTAATATAAAATATTATTATTATGGTAAAAAAAGACATATCGAAGTGCACTGCAAGAAGTTGAGAAAAGATATAGCTATTTTCAGAAGGACGAATGATGAAAAGAATTTGAATAAAAGAAAGAGTGATACTGCTACTGTTGTGTCTTGTGTCTGATGATGATGATGTCATTTTCATAACTTGTATGGATGAGACTCAGATTTTGAAATGTGATAAAGGTTGGGTTTTAGATTTAGCTGCTACAGTCAATGTCTGCAATGATAGGAGTTATTTTGTGGAGTTGGAAGAGAATATGAAGTATAGGGATATTATGGTTGCCAACAATGAAACGTGCAGATTCAAGATATTGGGAGTGTTCGCCTTAAATCTCACAATGATGTTGTTAAGACGCTTCGTCATATAAGGTATGTACCAAGTTATAGCTACAATTTGATTGCTTTTGGTGAGTTAGCTTCTCGTGGGTACACATACTATGGTAGTAATGATTCAGTGAAAGTGTACAAGAATGGTAGTCTGATTCTACAAGGGAATAGGGTCAAAATCACTTGTACATGCTTGATGAAGACTTAGTTGCTGAAATTCCTATGATGAAAGAAAAGAAGAAATGCAAGCATGTTAGCTTTGCAAATACTGTTGAAGTGTTTGGAGATTCAAATTAAAGGAGGATTTGTTAGGATTTGCCTTGAATCTCATAATCTCACATTGAAAGTTAAGTGAAGTTATAAGAATTTGAGTTTGTCTTGTATCCCACATCAGGAGTTTAATAAAATTATAAAGGGTATCACCCTTATAAATAAAATATTTTGGTTTTAATTTGATAATCCCATATAGTTAGACACCAAGAGAATAGCTAAGTGAATAGGCTATTAAAAGGTTTAATTGGGTTTCTGGTTAAGTTTTAAGTAAGGAGTTTTTAATGATTTTTCTCATTTTAAAAGTCTCACAGTTGTAAAGATTTATTTGTTAGTGGATTAGATTTGGAGTAGGCTTAGGCCATTTTTGAGTTGGACCGAAATAAATATATTTGTATATTTTTATTTTTGATTTGAGCTTACTATTTGTACGTGGGTGCTGCATGAGCATGTTGTTTTCCCAACAACATCAGCAAGATCTCTAGGTGAAAGTCTTGGGCAACAAATATCTTTTAGAAAAACCCCAACAATTCCAACTCTTCAACTGTATGGAAATCCATAAAGCAAAGTCATGCTCTCATTGAAAAAGGCATAAGGTGGGTGATCTACGATGGAGCCAAGACAAATTTTTGGTTCGATAATTGGACGTGAAAGGGAGGCATGAATTTTCTCATTGAAGGACCACTTGAGCGAGAAAAAGAAAACATCACGACAAGGAATGTGTGGACCAATTGGGAAAATCATGGTTGCTTTAAGATTTCTTTTCAACTGCTTGAGAAGGTTCTCAACTTTATCTTAAGCATCCCTTTCTCCCTATACCAGAATGGGGAAGATATTATATGTTGGAACTACTCAAGAATGGGAGAATTTTCTCTTAGTAGGGCCTACAAGCTTATGGCACATGAGGACTTCCAAATCCCAATGGAAAAAAAAGAGAAGTGGACATAGATATGGAGGCTGAATTTATATCCCAAACTTTGTTTCTTTATGTGGGAGTGCATGCATCGTATATTGCCTACTAGGGTATTCCTTGAAGCTAAAGGAATGGAGATCGAGGTGAGTTGCCCCTTCTGTCAAGGAGGGGATGAAACTCTTAGCCATCTTTTTACCTAATGCCTTATAGTTGTACCCTGGTGGACCCTTGTCAGTGCCCCCCTAGGGAAGCAACTCCTACTCCAACTTCAACTCTTGGAGCGATTGGGTTAAAGCCAATGCTACATCAAACTTCATAACTATGAACCACAATATCCCATGAAGGGTCATGTTCGCATTCTTTCTGTGGGAAATTTGAAAAGCCAGAAACAAGCTTGTCTTTGAATGTAATTTTGATCCAATTAAGGGATGTGGCTAAGGCCACTGAATGTGCCTGTGAATTTCAAGCTTTGATGGGTAAAACAAAAAGAATTCCACTTCCTTCCTTCATTGGGGTCCAATGAAAACCCCCTCCCCAAGGCTGGCACAAGCTTAACACAGATGGATCATCCCTTGGAAATCCAGGCAAGGCAAGAACGGGATCAATACTTCGTGACCACTCAAGGCAGTGGCTTGCAGGATCTTCACGACATATACTAAAGGCCACTAGCGTGGAAGCAAAATTGTGGGCCTTTAGGGATGGCCTTAAAATGGCCTGTGTGAAGTGGGAGTTCAGAAACTTGTGGTTGAATTGGATGCCATGGTGGTAATAAACCTGATTAATAATCTAGACCACGCCAACATGTTTCTAAATGCTCGTCTGTGATTGCAGGATACTATTGAAGAGTTTCCAATAAAGAGTGCTGATGTTTACCTTCCGTGAAGGAAGCAAAAGTGCCGATGGCCTTGCTAGGAAGGGAAGCAGGGCCTTACGGGAATCTTCCTCCCATGTTTCCAGTCTTGTTCTTTCTGAGTTCTTCCCTAACCCCCCTGTTTGTATTATCCTCTTTTTATTAGCTGAGACTAATGGGATAATGATGTATTGTACTTTATTTTCATGATCTACGAATGCTTCCTTTCTCAACCAAAAAAAAATAATAATAATCAGGAAGTTCTTGAAATAAAACATTAGAGTCACCATCACACGTGAAACTCCCAAAGCAACTACTACCAAAGACAGCCAGAGCATCAACACAGCGGTTCCCTTCCCTGAAGACATGCATCATCTTATGTTGGTTAACTCTGTTAGAAGTTTCTTGCAATCAGACACCAATGTTTGGAATATAGGATTAGACCTACTATGATTCTTAACCATAGAGATGACAAGAGAAGCATCAAGCTCAATTTCAAGGTTTTGAATATTAATATTTCTAGCCAAGAGAAGGCCATCCCTAAGGGCCCAAAATTCAACTATGACATTGGTCCCTTACCCCATGTATCTGGCAAAGCCGGCCACCCATGTACCCTCGTGGTCACGTATAACGGTCCCTGCCCCTGAACTGCCTGGGTTTCCCCTCGATGAGCCATCAGGATTATGCTTAAACCACCCGGCCTCAAGTGACTTCCATCTAATAGGGATGAAGGACATGGTTTTGGAATGAAACTCAGCTTGGTTCATAGCATAGAACTCCCTAGCTTTTGCTCTAGCTCTCCCTAAAATATCGATCCTTCCCCTATTTCTTTTGAAGATGGTATGGTTTCTTTCCAGCCGTATTTCCCACAAAATAAACACAAACAAAACATCCCAAGAGATTCTCCTATGGCTCGTATGACTTCCTCGAAGAGCATTTCCTTTGATCCATTTCTTCATTTCTCCTTAATGGCATGTAATCTAGATACCCCCCATCCTGAAGATTTTTCCAGATGTCTTTGACCCAGTAGCATCCTCGAAGCAGGTGTTCTAAGTCCTCTGAATGCTGCCTGCAGAAGATGCAATATTCCTCAATCAATTGAATTCCTCTCTCGGTTAAAAGTTTTCTCGTTGTTAAGATCCCATGCATGCATTCCCATATAAAAAGTTGAAGTTTAGGAGGGACTTCAAGTTTCCATATCCACTGCCAGTTCGTAATGTCAGGCTCTCCTTCGTTTCCTTTAGCCAAGTCATAAGCTGACTTAAACAGTAAAAGAGCCACTCTTTGAAGCCATCCATAGGATTTTATCAAGGTCGTGCGCCATCACCTACTTAGGCACCGCTCTAATAGTCTCCATGATGCTACGTGGAAGGTTGAAGGATACAGGCAGGTTGTCATGGTCAGGCCCTGGTCCTGCCATGATTGATCCTGGATCAAACAGCGGTCGAGATCGAGTTGACGGGAAAGCAGTTTTAAGGAATGCGGGCGTGCATTCGGAGCTTGGAAACATGATGCTAACATGTTGTAGAGGCAATGGGAGCCCCGAGCCGCAAGATACGTGGGAAAGTTCGGGACAGTGGTCGGACACCCTCAAGCCAAGTAGCCTGGCGGGTGCCATCTGTGGAAGCAGTGTGCGGGCATTCTGAGCATGGGAATAGGTTAGGGACATTGTGTGTGGACTGTCCATGCCCTAAACCCTGAGATATACAGGTAAGTATAAGACATTACGCCGGTGCCCTAGGATCAGCTAGCCAGACAGGTGCTGTCAGTCGAAGCCATGTGCGGGCACCTTCGAGTGGGTTGGTGGAGCAACGAGCAGAATCAAAGAGCATTGGTGACCAAGAGGAAGGTTACGGGGCCCTGAGTTAGCCGGAGAAAGGCTTTGAGGTGGCTGGGCAGAAAAGTATCCCTGTTTCAAACATTCTTACGGTCACTGGTAGCATATGGGGAAAATCTCTAACGCTCTTTATAGGGGGACGTCTGGTGTCAGCTCTCCACCACCCCCTTGGCTAGCGGGCAGGCGGGGGCCTGGCTAGTCTGAAGTGAGCTACTCTTAGGCACTCGTGGTGTCTAGGTGGGCGGACATCGTAGGGTCACGAGCGTGGCACGATGTTTCCTCGGGTAAGGTAAACCTGGGGGGGTTGGGGCCGGCGGGCCTCGTATCGCCCCTTTGCGTTGAATCAAGAGGTTGGACGGTAGAGACCGTTAAGCCCCTCGGTTTCCCCTCCTCGAGCCGGAAGGATCAGGTGATGGTGTTTACGTATGAGGGATACCATCGAGCCAAAGGGATGCGCGGGCTAGCTAGCGGGCACGCTGCTAGACCCCTGTGGCCAGTCGGGCTGGTTGGCTACAGCTGGGGCAGTCCACCCAAGGACCCTTGCGAGACTGGACCACGCGATGGTATTCACGTAGGAGGGATGCCATCGAGCCGAGAGGATGCACGGGCTAGCAGGCAGGCACGTTGCTAGGCCCCAGTGGCCAGTCGGGCAGCTGGTGTGCTGTAGCTGAGGCAGTCCTCCTGAGTCCCCTTGCGGTACTAGCATGATGTTGGGTGTCAATCATGCGTACGGGCGGCCAATACTGACGCTAAAGGGCGTAAGCCCTAAGAACCGAGTCTTGTGGGACGAGTTGAGCTTAGAGGCTCCGAGCTGGCTGCTGACCAGCGTAAAGGGGATGCTTGTGTAAACTTGATACGAGAGCTTGCGTATCATACGTGCGGGCGTGGTGTTGGGTTCTCACTATGTCAAGATGTAATAACATCAAGAGAACCGGGGCTGTGTGCCCCTACGAGATTCGAGGGTCGAGGCTCGAAGCATTAAGCCTTGCGGCCAGAGTTGGGGGCTCGTGGTCACTTGGAGAACCGTGGACCGATGCGCAATGAGAGATGGGTTCCTCTCTATAGAGTCAGAATGAACAACCCTACGAGGACAAAAGCCAAAAAATGCTTGTGGGCATGCGGCTTGAAGGGTCGGATTTGGTTGGTTCGCGAAGAAAAATGGACATGGTGAAAGCTGACCTTGACTATGAGTAATCTTGGTGCCGCACGATCGCGTGATTTCAGTATGAAGAACGCGTGGACCGTGACACAAGTCCTGCTGATAGTCCAGAGCCTCAAGACATTGCTTAACGTTGATCTCCTCTTCATTTTTGTTGAAAGTGTCTTGCATAAAAGACCTAAGCTTTCCCCCACCTAGCCAACTATCAAGCCAAAGCTCGTATTTTCACCATTGTTTATACTCCATTCCAGCCCTAGCTCGACGATGGGTCCAGCCCAACGCATGGCTCTCCAGGTAAGGTACATACTAGCATTAGGTTTGGTAAGTCTCCCTCAGGAAGGTACTTTGCACTGAGGGTAATTGCCCAAAGCATAAAGAGAACATCAATATGCTTGAAGGTAGAAGCTAGAATGATTGAAAGGATAAAATTAAGGTAGTTGCAGGTACAGGCTCGAAGTAAAAGACATTAAAATGATGCTTTGCCACCAAAAAGCAAGAAAGAAAACATGGATTTGTGCAACTAACCAGAGAAACGCAAGAGAATCACAAAAGCTGGACTCTCGCCAGAGATCATTTCCCGTTTTCATTTTTCTTTTTTACTATTGATGCTAAAGGAATATATGAAATGTATCAATATTGATACAAGGCAACAAACAGCTTTATCTAGGCCAAGTTTCCTGCGTTCTTGGCCCGAATCGAGAAAATTCTCCTGTCCCGCATATACTTTCATTCCACAAGCTTGCTTCTATATGCTTGAGTCCATAAATTCTCAGCTTCACATTTGAACTGAGCGCATGAACGATTAACAGCATGTGCTGATCTGCAAAGAAAACAAAACAACAGAAATGCTTGCCTATGTACCTTAGAAAACCAACCAGCCATTTGCAGAAGCCACAGCAATATAGAGCAAAAAGAATGTTACAAATGCTAATTTACTTGATGTGGCCGGGCATCATATAATACAGACAGCAAAGTGTTTTTTTCAGAGCAATTTCCACTAAGATTTGAAACAGCGTAGTCTATAAATTTAACAAGATCGTCTGGACTACAAACTTGAGATCCATGCTTTTCAATATCAGCCATCAAAATTTTCTTCGTACAGCTCCACTTCTCTTGTTCATGGATCACTGCATATATTCTGCCTAAATCAGTGGACAGTTTAAGGAACGTAGGATCACCTAGAGATTCCATCAAATTATGGATGCCAAGATTTCCTTGCACACCACCTTCAGATTTCATCTTTAATGCTATTTTCCGTATAGATGCAAGGTTTAGGGCAAAATGTTGCACTGTAGCAGACCAATGCCAACTTTCAGAGTTTGATTCACCACGTAGATAATACAATTCCAACACATTGGCCAGTGAAAAGCGTGATATGAAGATGAAGAAATCATTAAAATTCATGCCTGTAGAAAGAGGACCAACTTGGAAATGAGATATGATAAAGAGAACATCAATTTTGGCATATCAATTATCATTGTCCAAGTAGAAATAGCAGAGACAGTTCTGGTATGTTGCAAAATCATGGCATAGAGTTCCGGCAAGCTGCAGAATCAACATTCTTTTAGTCTTGCCAACTACATAGACTTTAGGAAAATCACTGAACAACATGGCATTGGATCATGTAGTTAACTTTTCATTGTCTAATAAATACCCTCCATTTATCCAAAAAAAAAAAAAAAGTAAGACCCTCCACTAAAGTTTGGATTCAGCCATGAAATCCAACTGGAAGGAAAAATGAAAACACATTTTGGCCCAAGAAAAATCTGGCAATTAACATGTGGTAAATTATCATTTCTGTTAAGATTAATGATGTACCTGAGTTTGCTGCAAGATTGCGTTGACAGAGACCTTCAAAATCATCACAGATGTCTTTGATATCCTCTATGTACTCCTTGGCCTCCTTGTAGTCTCTTAAGAGTAGATCCCACTGAAAGAAAAAATAAATTAACAAGATATACTTCATATTCCATAGAAGAACTGGGTTTCTCTTATATTTGTGAAATACCGTTCTGTAGTAACTGCACTTACCACCCAAGAAAGATTGTAGGCATTGAACCAGTTGTGGTTTATTGATATTGTGTCCTCCTGAAAAACTTCATGTCATGAGAACATTTTAAAAGAGGTGTGCCATTCATAACAGGCTATAAAGATAAACTATAAAGACATCTCTGTGAGGCTTGAGACTAAAGTGTTTGGCAAAACTACAGCAATACAGGAGCTTTGGAACCTATAATTGGAAGACTGCTTTTTACCACTCTTTATAAGTTAGAACCGCCAAGAAGAAAAATCTTCTTCAGCCACCAATGAACACATCGGTCAATGTCCTCTCCCTTCCTCCCCTTATCTTTTTTTTTTTTTTTTTTTTTTGTCTAGCCTATTCTTCTTCATCTGGGGACACTTTTAAATTGCATGACCTCCAAGTATAACCTACAAGAAGAGTTGAAAAGAATAAAAAGAAAGGAAAAAGAATTTGAGTTACCAGATTATGGACTTGATGGTACCATCCGCTAGGCACAAAGATAATTTCATTCTGTTCCTGTATGCATTCCAGCCAGATAGCCTGCACATATTATATGACAATAAGAACATATGATTAAGATGTACAGAAGAGAGAAATTAAATACACAATTTGAAGCTCTAGGACGACGAGTTACCTTCTTAAAACCGGGAAACTTAGTTTCACTAATGTCATCAAAGATATTATATACAGAGCTTTTCATGTTCCTGAAGTAAAATAAGACAGCAATCAAGAAATAATAATGAAACTAAGGCATGCAACAAGTAGAACATGCTTTCTTGTAACAGCAGTAGGCTCCAATTGGCTATAACAGAAAGTGAGAATATGATAATATCCTATGCCTTTGTCATCACAAATCCATAAAAGAAATGCAGGTAAATTTTTCTCTTTCCTTATTTTAAATCCTTTTCACTTTTAGAAGACGAAACATATGGACCAAGGCCACAGATCCAATCCATCGGCCAAAATCAAACTACAGGAGAGCTGCACAATCCACCAGCTCCATATATGAAAAGACATACCTAGGTACCAGCTCAGGGCAGCATACCAGGCTAATTTTAAGGCCATCATGCATAAGAGACTGGTGGTACTCAACAAACCACCCCATAATTCTTATTACATTGAGTCATCTTATGTAAAGCACCACATCCCAGTTAGACTATTTACTGTTATTCTGTCTCTATAGCACCTTAACTGACTTCAGCATTGGAGTGGAGAAGGACAAACTCCGGCACCTCATCAGCCTCTTCTTTCTTTTTCAGGTTTCTCTACTGGGTCTTGCCCTTCTCTTGGATTCCAGAAACAACAATATATAACAAAGAAAGAGTTGTTATAGTTCTAATAAAACTAAATGTCCTTTTACTAATTAAGTAGTTTCACCAAGTCCAAGAAAGCTACAATATTCAAATCTCCAAAGATACACCTGTCTAACACTATATTGAGCAAGAACAAGTTATCCATGCCTGTCAAACAGAAGATTACATTGCAGAGGAGGAAGCAAAAGCCACTTTTTCTTGCCACAGACATTTGCTGACCAACTATATGATCTGAAAACATCTGCATGAAGAGGTGTCCAGGATCCTGCATAAAAGATTTAAATGGTTAGATGGTTGCCTTTAGACTAAAAGTTCATGAATATAGAATGGTCAGTAAGCATCTTTATTTGACAAGGTATATATCCAAATTTCTATATATCAAACCACAGAAGATATTGTTGTATCTATACTCAAACCTTTTGCTCCCATATACACAAAGCGATAGTCAGAGCAACATAAATCGTTATTCTCTTGACAAGAGTCAGGATCATCATGCATGCGATAATTGTCAAGATAAAGATTCAGCCAATCATCAGTGAAAAATGGCGGAGTTCTGTATGCTTGATATTCTGGATACTCCTGACATAGAGATTGAAAAGGGTATGAACAACTGAGACAACTAAGCTGTTAATGTCCTAATACATGTACCATAAAGCATAACAGCAACTCATAATGGTATCCACAATATGGGCATGTATTGAATAAGATTTCGAAAAATAAAAGATTTAAAGTTGGAGCAAACACAAAATAAACAACAGAAACAAGAAGATTGATATAGTCATCATGAACAACAACAACAACAACAAAAAAAAAAGGAAAGAAAAGAAAAGGAGGGCATACAATTTGAGATGATGTCTGAAAAAAAAAGACCTAAACGATACATTAAAATCTTTCATAATTTGAGAAACCTTGTCTCTTCAAATCTTGACTTAAATAGTTTTATAAGTTGACATTTATGTCTCTTTTATTTAACATATAGTGAGGGCAAAAAAGCAGTGGATATCTGAAATTCTGTTCTGCCAAGGAATTCCAAGACTTAAACTCATATGCTACTATTAAACATATAAATGATTGACATAGATGTATCCAAGTGCATTGATTCTACTAAATTGACATAGTGCACAATTGATCATGAAACTCCACCACATTCCTAGGAATTTTTACTGCCACTAACAATTTCTAACAAAGAGGGTGAATATACACTCCAAAAAGTTTAGCATTTTAACAAACTGTGATGATATATGAGTTCTGAAATTGATACTGCTTGAGAATGGACATTTAGGAAGATTAGAGGTTAAAAAACAAAAAGAGAGAGGAACCACAACGAAAAAATCATCAACAAACAACTTGTATTAAAAGGTTAAAAACGCACCTTCACAAAATGCCAGTCCTTCAAATAAAGCACGGACTGGCCATTACCATCAAAGTTGTCCCCAGAACCCTGAAGAAGCCAGTGATTAACAAACTCCAAAACAGACATCTCTAGCCTTTTCTGATCACTGAATGCCCTTGTACCGCAATCTGCAACCTATAAATATCATATAGTCGTACATAAATTCGGAAGAATTCAATTAAACAGCCAAAACCCCAAGTGTACAAAAGAACCAAAAAAAGAGTGAATGAAACCATCCTGTCTAAAAGGAAGATGAAAAATTGAGAAAGAAGAAAAAGAAATACCTGAACTTTGGATTTAGAAAAATGGGTAGAGAAGAAATAAAGGTTAGGTTGGCCATGGGTAAAAACCCATTCTTTGGAAGCTTTCCAATCATCCATCAAACCAGTTAAAACCACAGGCTGGTTTTGGGCTAAGTATCTTTCAGCAAATTCAGTGTAGGAAAGTTCTCTTCCATTCACCTTCTCTATCTGCCCTCCAATTTTTACACCCATTTTTTTTTTTTAAATTTCTACTGTCTCTGTTTTCCTTTACGGCAAGAGTTAAGACAAAGGGCAAGGGCATGTATCTATTCTCAGTTCTCACGCACTGTTACTAGGACTACGAGTCGCTGAGTTAAGTATGTTGTCTTTCTTTTTTTTTTATAGGAATCGGACGCATCAATGATATTAATTTTTTTTACGGAACACAATTATGGAGGAAGGTGGGGTTCGCCTTCGTTCTCTCTCTCTCTCTCTCTCTCTCTCTCTCTTTAGTTTTTATTAAAATTATTTTTTTATTGGATAAATTTTATAAAATAAAAAATTAATAAAAATAAAGATAAAACAAATTTTATTCTATTGATTTTAACGTAATTGCATTTTTTTAAAAAAAATTAAAAATTGGATTGAGTTTTTTTTTTAAATTAGATCAAGTTAAAAATGAATTTAAAATATTTTATCTCATCTCAAATGTTCATGTGACATCTTTATTTTTTTTTTATTTTCTTTATTGGTTTAAAGTTTTTTTTAATTTTTAATTTTTATCTTTTATTAAATAAATTTTAAAAAATAAAAAAATTAATTGAGATAAAAATGACAAAGTAACATGTATTTAATGAATTTCGATTAATCTCAATCAAATTTTGAGCTTTCATTTAATTTGGGATAATTGGATTAAGTTTTTTTTATTTTTTAAATTGAATTCATGTTAGAGTAAAATTTTGAATATTACACCTTAGCTTTGGTATATATGAAAAATATTTTTTTATTATTTATTTAATTTTATATTTATATATTTTAAAAAATATTATTTAATATTTTAATTTAATAAATTCACATGTTATTTCATTTAACTTTTTTTTTGTCATTTTTTTTATTTTTTAAAATTTTTTATTAGATAAATTTTGTAAAGAAAAAAATTAATGGATGTAAGGATTACAAATTAATCTATGTTCAAGGAGTTTTGATTCGTCACAATTCAATCAATATAATTTTTAAAAATAATAAAAATTAAATTAAATTTTACTTTTTTGAAAATTTTGGCTCAAATTTAGATTAGGTTTGGAATGCTTGCCTTAACCCTTTTTGAAATATATAAAAATATATATTTTATTATTTATTTAATTTATATTTATCTATATGTATTTTATTAATAAGATATTATTTAATATTTTAATTTAATAAAAATTACATTTATATTTAATTAATTTTTAATTTATATTAACAAATGAATACACTTATATTTATCTCTATGTGGTCATCCATTAAAATTTAATATAAAAATTTTATTTCTCTCATATTTAAAATATAATTTTAAAAAATAAAAAATTATCTCAAGGCGAAGCGCACATTTAATTCTAGTTACATAAATATTAGGGAGCTTCTATTTGCACGGGATTTCTCTTAACATTTTTTTTTCAAATGATTTTTAAATAAAATTTTTTCATTAATTTTTTCATTTTTAAAAAGTTTTGGATATCATTGGTAAGTTATATGATTTATAGGATTTTAATATTCAATAAATTTTTAACCTTTATAGAAAAACTATAAACTTTAATTTTCACAACATTAAAAAGAAAAAACACGATTTATTTCAAATAATTATAAATTTATTTACAAATCAATAAATAAAAGCTATAGCTATATCCGTAAGTGGCATTATTTTTTTCTAGCACTATGAAACCTAATTTTGTTGTTATAGATATTTAATTTTATTCACATATATTTCAATCAAAATTCTATATTTTAAATCATGATATGAACCTTTTTCAAAAAATTTTGAACCTCACAAGTATTTTTAGTCTACCAAACAAGTTAATTTTTAGATTTAATATTCAAAGAAAATGGTGAAAGTCAACATAAAGTCAAAATCAGTTCTAAAAATTAACTTGATTAAATATGAACTTTTATGACAAAATCTATGAGAAAAGTTTTGCACTTGTTTGAAATCGGAACCATTAGTCAAACACATGTCTAAAAACTTTTGAAAATTCTTCAATCAAATTTTTTATTGAAATTTAATCAAACTTAAAACTAAAAATACTAATTTAAACCTGAAAATTTATTCGAGTTAACTCATGATTGAAATTGAATTGATTCGAATTGATCAAGAAAAATCAAAGACCAAAATCTGAAAATTTTAAATTCAAAAAAATGTTAACCCAAAGAAAGCTTCACACCAACATAATTTTAACCTGTCATGACCCAAATTTCGTAGTGATTTGAATTTGAGATCGTTTCTGTTCGAAACTCATAAAAATAAATTATAATCCAAAAAAACTAATTATAATTGTTTTTAAAAAATAATAAAAATAAATGATAAATATTTTTTAAGTAAAAATTTTAAACTATTATTATTTATAATTATATTAATAATTTATCATCAACAAAATTAGTATTGAATCTTTAAATTTGAATATGAAGTAATATTAATTTTGAAATATATTAAATATGAATATCAAACGATTTTTAATATTATCTTTATTGTATTCAATAATTATTAATAAAAATAAATAATATCGTTAATTTAAAATTCAATTTCATTATAGAAATAATCATTTAAAATATATTATTTATTAAATTTATTCCATATTTAAATTTTAAATTTAATCTAACAATAATTCAAATATAAAAATATATTATAATTTTAACATTTGATTGAATTTGATGTTTTAAAGAAAACATTAATCCCACTATTCACAAAATTAACTTTAGATTATATTTTTCTTAGTGTTTAAACGTTTTAAAACATTAAATTTTCTTGAAAATAAAATATTATTTTATAAATTAAAACATATTGTTTTTAAAATTGAAATATAATAACGAAAAGGTTAAACAACGGGTCGCTTGAGAGTTTAGGATATAGTATTGGTTTCAAAATTTGTTGTTTGGAGTGGACTGTGAAATTGGAAATTTTCGTTTGGAGGGTATTATGAAATTGGGAAAGCCATCACTTTTAATTTTTGTTATTTTTTTTCACATTTTTTACTTTTTAAGTTTAATATTAGATAAAAAATTTATTTTAATTTGATGTATAATTGATTTATTAATATATATTATAAGTATAATTAAGGTGATAATAGAATTAATTACTATCAATAGTAAATTAAAAGTATAATTTAGAAGTATATTATACTAGCAATAGTTTTAATACAATTAATTTTTATACTTAATTGATATTAAGATTAATTATATTTAAGTAACTACACTCGTTGAGTTTATAGTTATTAGCATTATATTAATTAATTTAATAATGTTTACTATTTAACATTTCAATTGAATATTTGGTCAATTGGTGTATATCCAATGTTATTATATTTATGTTAATGTTAAATGATTAAATTAGTGCTATTTTAATATTGTTTACTATTCAACTTTGTGAATTTTGATCAATCGGTATATATGAATATATCCAATGTTATTATGTTAAAGTCAATTGGTGTATATGATTTTTTTTATTCAATATTATAATGGAACATTTGATCAATTATTGTATATGATTATAATTAACATGGTAATATTAATATAATAATTCATATACAAACCAAAAATAAAATAGATATATGGTTGAACTTATTAATTGATCAATTATTTATATTAAATATTTGTTTGTAAATGAGGTTAATACTTTTTGTTATAATATCTACTATTGATCAACATTATATTGACCAATTGATAATTGATAAATATTCTTAATCTAATGTTAATTTCAAAATGATCAAATATGAAAATTAAATCAATACTATATCAATTAATTTTTACATATCATATCATGATTATTCAAAATTTCTAAGTATTGATTATTAAAATTAAGCCAATTAAATAATAATATTTTAATGTATACTATTTAACATTCTAAATTGAACATTTAGTCAAATAGTTAATTTTGACTTTAATTGTTTCAAAATTTAAAACCAAAAAATTTTTAACTTCAGTATTTTTGTCATATTTTTATTTAATTATTTAAAAAGTAAAATTAATTATTACATTTGAAATTATATAAAAAAAATTCTATAACTTATAAAATTTCAAAACTATTTGGATTCATCTAGGCCTACTCAACTCGAATCGAACTAAATTCAAAATAATTCGAACAAGAAATAATTTGTATCTAAAATTGTTTGAACCCAAAAAGGCTTGAGTTTGAAATTATCTAACCCGAAAATCTCCAAATCCAAAATGATCAAATCTGCATGATTCGAATCCAAAACCAATTTGATATGAGTCAACCTAAACGGGTCAATTTGCCACCTTTAGCCAAACTCAAGCCCATTTGGTCAAACTTGATCAAATATTAAAATTTTGAAAGAAATTAATTAAAAAACCAATGGGTTTGAACAAAACTTGGATTTTGACCAAATGCCATTCAATCAAACCCAAGCCTAGGCCCATTTGGTCAAACTTGGTCATATGGTAGAATTTTGAAAGAAATTAATTAAGAAACCTATGGGTTTAAACAAAACTTAGATTTTGACCAAAATACCATTCAGTTAAACTTTAGTCAAACTTAGTCAAACTTGAGTTAAACCATTAAAATCAAGTGATATATTGCTTGAAACTACTTAATTTTAATAAAATTGTGACTTGAGATCTTAAAAACTAAATTTTAACCTCAAACAAGCTACAAAAGTCTAAAAGCACTTTTTCAGGGCATTTTAGTAAACATGGTCAAAACAAGGTCGAATTTTGGGTGAAGGTAGGAATTCAAGTTTAAAGACACCGTTTTCATTTTTTTTTCAACAAATTAAAGTCAAGGGATCAATATTAGAACGAAAAAATCAGAAGAAAACCATGAAAAAGGCCTAGTTCGCTCAAAGGTAAATTTGTAATTTTACATGCCTTCAAAGATAACTCCACATTAACCAAAACAATGTGTTGTAAATGATATCAACCTGTAGATCTTGGAGTACAACCATCTAATGATCCACATTGCATACTTGGTCACCAAGTTTAGTAAAAAAAAGACAAACCATTCTCGACCATTAGATGAAATTTGATTTATTGGCCAACATTAGAGGTTTTTTTTTTTTTTAAGTAGAATATTGTAGGGCTGAATAGAGAACTTTTGGTAAAAAAGGGTGGCAATACTAAAGGAAAAAATAAAAAAATAAAAAATTTCTTGAAAGCTTGGAATGATAATTTTTCTTTCATGTATTCTTCCATGCTAGCTTCATACTTATGTATGTAGTTATTTCCTTGTTTAATGTTGTTGAAAAAGAGACAACATTTTCCCATGGTTG